CCGGGTTTTCGCGAACGCGAGTTTACGGGGCCGTGTAATCGCGCTTCGTCCCGTCGCGATTACGTCGACTCGGATGCGGTCATCGAGTCATCATGCGAAATCATCGTCCGCCGCTACGCTTACGTCGCGTGCGTCACGGTTGAGCGGACGAGGTTCGCGACCGGAGTTTTTTTTTTCCTCGCCGAGAGGTCGCGGGTGGACGACGAGTGCGCAGACTCGGCAAGAGCCAAAAAGGGAGAATGAAATATTTAAGTGACTCTGACATTTCAATACAAATCATGTGTGAGAAGCCAGACGCAGATGTGTGCTTCAAATTTCATTGTAAAATTAATACCTGAATTTGCATTTTAATTATCAACGAGCAGAAATGTGAACTGATTAAGAACTGTAAACGTTGCGCAAATTATTCCTTCTTGTTAAATATTATTTTGTAATATACGCGTCGTGACTCTAATTTCATCCCACCTTGAGCAATTGTAAAATATATCTTATAAGGCGTAATTGAATTCAAATTTGCATGCAACATCTAATACGGATATAAATGAAATTAAATAAATTAATAATTTAATTCATTATATAATTTAAAAAATTAATTTATAATATAAACTTTGCATGTAAAATTTGCTATTTCTTTTTGCATCCCAAAATTTGAGACTAATTCACAGTTCAATAAAAAAAATTTATTTTTATTTTATAATATGATTTTTAATAAAAATCTGCTCTTATTGTGAATAATATGAGAAGATTTTTGCGTTAGTAAATTTCATTTATACTTCGATGTACGATGTACGTATAAAAAAAAAGATGTAATATTTGAGAATTGAATGAATAAATCAATAAATTTCCCCGTTAGATTATTACGCAAAGATGATCATGTCACGTTCGAGGGGATTTTTTTTTCTAACGTTTTACCCTGTAAAGTGCCTCCTTACAACGCATCTGATGAATGCGCTCTTAAGTTCGCGTGCATCTGCTCGCGTTCCTAACATCTCGAGCACCTAAGCACGAAGTCCGAGGTGGATTATTTTCATTACGGATGCAAATAAATGATTTTCGTAACGGGATGCATTCTGAAGATCGCGAAATAATGAGAAAATATTCATCGAACTTAACAAACATTATCGAAAGCTGTAACGATAATTATTAAGTCTAATATATTACATATTTGAAAGATATTATTTTAGGAATAATTAATAATAAATATGCGAAAAAGAGAGAAAGAATAAGCATTATTAATCATGAAGAAATTTTGATTTTTTTTTTAATTTAGTGTCATTTTTCGTCATTCTAGGCAATCCTTTTCAAAAAATGACAGACGAGATCTGTCCATAAATATAATAATTTTACAAGAATAAAATAATTTGACATGTAAAATCCTTGAAATCATAATTCAAATGAAAAAAAAAGAAAGGCGATGAAAAAAAATTTGTTAACGAAACATCTATCCATCTTGAATGCAGCTCGTGCGAAGTCATCGTCCCTATTTTTCTCAATACATATATATATATATATACACAACATATACGGTATTGTTGCGTGCATTGTTACGTCTCAATGGATACTTGCACGAAGTTGGCGTAATAATTCGAGCTTGTTAAAGAATACGAATCAAGGGTCTTTCAATACAATTTATAACACGTACTACCATAAGGTCCGTTTACGCGCAAGGAACATTGGTGAGATACTATCGTGAGATGTTATCTGGAAAATCTGCGTCGCAAAGTAAGAAACGCAGTAAAACACACGAATGCGCGTGAATAAATCAATATCACGGGACTTGAACAACCAATGTCATTCTGTGAAAGCAGAAAGATAAATGTGTCTTATCATGCAACGTTTCTCTCTTTTTCTTTTTTTTCCAAGTTAAAGTACAGCGTTGGTTTTAAATATTAAGCGAGTTTTCATCGATATGATTTCAGGATGAAGATTATGCAAATAAGAAAATTAATATATATATATATATATATATATATATATATATATATATAAATATATATAAATTAATGTAAAGATAAAATCGATAAGCTTATATTTTTGTTTAATGGGTCTTCGTTTATACATCACCAATTCTATTATTATATTATAGAAATTGAATAAAAAATATCGATAATCCGATATATAAAATAATGGCATTAAGTGCCAAATAAAAAAAATAAATTTGTACGAATAGAATTAAATTTTGGTATAAATATTAATATATAAAAAATACAAAATTCACCGGATCTTCGATTTACACAGGAAAAATGACGATAAATAACACGCGTTGCATATTTTTTTCCCACAATCACATTCCCGCGATCCTCTGCAAGAAGTCGATTCGACTTCCGTCATTCAGCGAAACCGGGGCGGATGATTTCCGTCGGTGATTTCGAATGCATATGTATACATGCGCGAGGGGATATTTAGGAGGAAATCTAGAACGCTCGCATATAACAAACCACTTTTCTTCGTTCCTTTTTTTTGTTGTCGTCTCGGATATGCGGTCATCGAGTCAGAAAATCATCGTCCGCTATTTTCTGCAATTCATACCCGACGCGTTCGCGTGCGCCCCGTATAGAGAGTCATCGGCTCGGGAAATCATCATCCGTCATTTTTTACAATGTATGCACATTGCGCTCGCGTGCGTGCCCGGAGTGTATACCTATCTGCCTACCTAATACTCGAGGGGGCTCGAGTGACGGTATTATGCCGGGTAGTCGAGCACCTATCCCTCGTATAGATAGATGGATGATTCTTTAATGCGCTCTCGCGTGAACGACCAGCGATATAAACGCGATCAGGGATTATTGCCAGAGTTTTTCCGAAACGCAGACGATCTATATAAACCGTGTATATATGTAGATATATCTTTCGATGTCAGAATTAAAATTAGAAAATAGCTTGTGCACTGAAATATTTTGAAATAAAATCACCTTTTCAATATACATTTGTTTTAATTTCAAAATATTTTTAGGAAACTTAAAAAGTTTGTTTAAAAATTTTTTAAATTTTATAATGCGATCAGGGATTATTGCCAGAGTTTTTCCGAAATGTAGACAATCATAAATCGTGTACGTATATATCTTTCTATGTCAGAATTAAAATTCGAAAATAGCTTTTGCACTGAAATATTTTAAAATAAAATCAGCTTTTTAATATACATTTATTTTAACTTCAAAAATATTTTTAGAAAACTTAAAAAGAGTTTGTTTTTTTTTATAATTTTATATTGAAAAGTTACTAAAAAATATATATAAAAAAATAAAAAGTTTTATTAAAAAACGTTTATAGAAGGAATAGTTCCTAAATTACTTTTCACATCTTGTCGTATAATAATTAGCACCAATAAATTGATGCCGATAATTCTCTCAAGTTTGAACACATTTACCCATGAATTACTATTAATAATTTATTACATTTTGGAGCGAAAACACGGCAACTTTCGTGACCAAGATTCCAGGATTCCGTGAGCTTGAGAAATTTGGGGAATCCGTCGACACCTCTTTCTCTCGATGCGTCATCAAATCGAGATGGGTCGATCGAACGCGACGGACGATTCGCCGATATGTATCGGAAATATAGCGCGAAATCGGTTTCCACATTGTGTTTACACAATGCTCTCGCGTGGAACCAATAGCCCGAGTCGGAGCACTGTGGTTATCCACGGCCGCCTTATCATTAAGAGGGAAAAACCTTCCGAGAGAGGCCGGGAGGAGGATTCTATCGTCGAAGTATCCAAATGATCGTGCGCGGTGAACACCGTCGGTAGCAATCGAATGTGCAACAGTGTGGATCGCAATTAGATTCGGTCTGCGAATCGAGATCGGTATTCCCTTAGTTAGGTTCTTCCACACGAAGAAAAGGATCTTTGCCTACGATCGTCGCGCGCGCGCGAATAAAATCCAAGTTACATCGTCCTTAATGATGCCCCTGCACGATTTCCCGGTGTCATAATTAATTAAGAGTCGGAGCGAAATTCGTATCTCGCTCTCGAAATCCGAGTCACATTTTAGAACTAATTTCATTACTCGACAAAAGGCCTAAAGATAATATAAAACCCTCTTTTTAATAAAAAGATTTTTAAAACTGGAAAAGATTATTTTATTTTAAAGGTCTTTAATATTTTTCAATAAAACTATTTTAATATAAAATATTTTAAATGCTCGTGTGTAGTAGAGAAATCGCGAATTAAGATCTGACCCAAATTCATCGCGTTTATATGTGACATTAGGAATTAAAATTATTTTTTAAGAGTAAAAAATGTGAAAAAAATGCATTTATCAGAAAACTACGGAACGTTTTCTGTCTCACTTCGGAGACAGATTTGTTCAAGCCGTGCCAAGTAAGGACGAAGCATGTTGCGCGATTGCGTCGATGACCTACTGCTGCTACTGAAAAATTTATGCCGGCCGTCAGTCCTAGCGAAAGGGTACATTGTCTCGTGAAAAGGGATGACGCTCGGACAAACGTGACACACGTGTGTATGTACGGTCAACCTGACAGGCGCTTGGCGTGACTGTCGGGTGTGGACACACGTTGACTGAAGATAAACTAACAACAAGGGTGAATTACGTCTAGAATTACCTCGTAATAAAAGGCAGAACCGAGCGGGCTGCATCTATAAGTATTATGGATCTATAAAATATACGTCGCCGACTCCTACGCTTTCAAAGAGACACAAGTGATTCTTTAAAACACGTCGTCAGATTTATCGTTCAAGATTTCTTGCACAGAATTTTCTGACAGCGAGATTTATTTCGAGATATTTAGATTCTTTTAGAATATTTTCATTATTATTTCACAACTATTTTGCTAAAAATATTACATAGTTTGCGAAAATATACTAGATATAAATTTAAGACATGTATCTGCTACAGCAATACATATAATATACTCCAATTACATTTTAAATATAAAAATCTAAACATTTTATATTTTATACATATGTATGAGAAACATATTTCTTTCTGCCATATAATGGTAACAGTTTAAAATTGGTTGAATTATGAATTTAAACTTACCTGATGGAAGCCTAGGTAACTCTCTATGCTGTGGGTAGCGAAAAATACTTCCCCGTCGCAAGTCAATATTAGCAGGAACCCATTCAGTGCCTGAAACAGAAAACAGATTCATATTAATAACAAAAAAAAAAAAATTAATCGATAAATTCAATAATCGCCAGTGAAACAAAACATGTCCGTAAAACTATAAACGGAATTGATCATAATCGAAAACCGAAAGACTGCTCCGTTTTTGCACCGGGGCAAAGTTCAAGGGGCTAATTCGTGGCGTGGATAAGTTAAGAGCACCGCAAAATATAGGTTTAGACGTGCACGTAGTTAGACGTACAACACGTGAGTATATGCCCTGCGAGAATAGAGCGGCGGCACGAAAACGAAAGGGTACATTGCCTTTTCGAAAGCGAAGGCCTGCTAGCGTTTTGCGGCGGCATCGTTCGAAAACGGCAAAGTTTTCTCATTTGTCTGCGGACTCGATACCGGTAAATACCAAACGAGCTTGCAACTCGAATGTTTACTTCCCCGAGGCCCAAAATAGGCCCTGTTATCCTGATTATCATCGAGCTAGGCCTTCCTCGAAAGAGAGAAACATGCTCTCACACACACGTTTCCAATCGATAAATATTATCGAGATAATAACACACGAGCATTTAAAATATTTTATATTAAAATAGTTTTATTGAAAAATATTAAAGACCTTTAAAATAAAATAATCTTTTTCAATTTTAAAAATATTTATATTAAAAAGAGGGTTTTATATTATCTTTATGCCTTTTGTCGAGTAATTCTAGATATTAACTGTTAAGTAAAGAAATACATGGAATTTACAAATACGAAAAAATAGAGGCGATAATATATTAACGATACTAAAGATACTAAATTTACTTACATTCAAAATTTTTAATCAAATTAATCAAATGTGCAAGTAGCAAAAATTTTATTACAAAAAAATCAATTTTAAATCTCTATCACACATACGCGCATGTGATATCCAATAATTATAGTAGTGGCGGAATTTTAAGCGAAAAAAAAAAAAAAAAAAAAAAAAAGCGAACACCGGAGCAAATGAATCTTGAGAGTAAAGGGTAACATACATCGAGTATGCCGATAAGAATAATTCAAGGACGTAATCCGACGTGGCGTACACGATTAAGCTTTCCGAAATACACAGGCAATTTCGAGCCCGCCACGCGAGAATAGCGCGCCGGCACGAAAACGGAAGGGTGCGTTGCCTTTCGGAAAGAGGGTTGTTCCTCCGGCGGGAGAACGCGCTCTGAAAACCGCCCCGGGAGGAAAGTTTTCCCATTTATCGGCGGTCCCGATACCGGCAAATGCCAAACGAATTCTCTATCTCTCACAGCAGACGAATGCGCCGCGGCGCATCGAAGAGCCGAAAATATCCGTCCCAGTTTTAACCCAGTCTTCAGCCCCTGACGTCGCGCTATATATCGGAGAAACAGGGTGGAAACCGCCGCTTTCTCTGCGAGCTAAATGTGTATTGTTTTGTTTTATTTCGCCAGTGGCGGTGCCAGGCACGCTAGAAACCCGGGAACTTATTGTTTTGAAATATGGCGAGAGCGCTTGTACTATTACTCAAATCGGCCGAAGTCGAAAAAAAAAAAAAAAAAAAAAGGAAATATCAATGCGAGAGAGTAAGCGAATTTTTAGGTTTATTTCTTCTCGCCGATGAATTTTTTTTCAAACAGAATCTTACTTCGGAGAATCGCGAAGACTCTTGTATGAAATTAAAAATTGACAAGAGTATTAATATGATAATATAAATATTAATGAGTTTTTCACTAAGGAACTAGTGGATTTCAAAAATTTGTTTAAAGAAACTGCGATTTAAAACATTACTAATTAAGACCTTAATAAAACTCTCAATATAAAATGCATATTTTTTTATAACGGGCTAGAAAGAGACGTGCAAAATAAATTTTTTAAAGAAATTTCCTTAATAAAAATTTCAATTCGAGATTTTATTTTTAATAAATCCTTCTCTATCCCCATCTAAAAAGTTATCTCAAAATATCCTATGAACCATCAAATATTTATTTTCTTGTAATTTTCTTATCTTTACTTTCTTCCTTCACTTACTTCCTATAAAGAGTTAAGACTTCTCTGTGATATCTCCGGATTCTTCTACTCCCCATCGCGATGCACGCTCGTAAAGTTACGATAATTGCGGATATCTCGCGGCTTCCTAATCCTGGCTTCCGACACCCTCGCAAGCTAAACGATCATGGACTTGGTATACCATCCCATTAAAACCGAGGTAAAATTAGAGCCGTATTTCTTAGGAAAGGCGCGTCTAATAATTATTATAGCGATTGCACCCCTGTGTGATTTGTCACAAATTCGCATAGACATTTAATATTTATTAACTACAATATTAATTTCACAACTATCTATTTTATACAATTATATATATACACATTTATAATTATAATATTTATATTTATATTCTTTAAATGTAAAAAAAAAAAAAAAAAAAAATTAATCTGACCGTGCAATTCGCGCAGTCGAGCCCTCGCAGCCCTTTCGTTATGAACGAAATATGTCACTGTGTCAAACTCTCGGTTTCATTTTCCGCTCGCTTCGGGAGGCAGGAACCTCGATTACGTCCCGTGATAGCACCGTGTACAAAATGGCACATTTCCGTGCGATCGCATGCGCGGATGCTGCGTTTTGATTGGTTAATCCGCAGGGTGGGATCTCCTGGCGGTTGCGTCAATACGGATGTGCGCGCGAGGGGTGAGTTTCCTTTCTCTCTCTCTCTCCACGACCTCGTCTTGTTTCACCCCACACGCTGCTATGTACCACGTCGCGTAGGATACGGAGCTATAATAGGATTTTCTCCCTGTGCGCGCTTCCCCTTCTTCGTTCTCGTCCCTTTGAAATGGCCGACATAGACCATTCCGCGGATAGACATCCCGCGAGACTCGTTCGCCCTTACTACTATAATTGCATTGTTTGGGGAAGTAATCGACTTCTATCTATCTCTCCCTTTCTCTCTCGATCGATCGATCGGTTTACGGAGTCTTATTCGCGAATCATTATTGTCGTTCTGTCGGAGATCTCGCGTCGCAATAAAGCGAAACGGAAGTGATTCGCTACTTCAGAACTTGTATAGTAATACGCTCTTCAATTTTCAATGATGTTTTATTTGAATCGCTGCAAAGCAAGTTTTTCTGCTGCCCCGGAAATGAATGATTATTGGGACGAGTTATAGGTATCTTTGAGATTGTCTTGAAATATTTTCGAAATTAATATAGAACCAAATAATGTACAAATTTTCGGTCAAACTGTTTTAATCATTATCTTCTCCTTTAAAAAATTCTCTCTCTTCTTAAAATAATTATACAATTTTTCTTAGTAGATATTCTCAAGTGTTTCCATAGAACATTCTCTTAAACTAAAAAATCTATTCTTTATGTAATTCTTATAAAATTGTTTACAATATTAATTTAGTGTTTTAATATATTCTTTGTTAATATCAAACGATTTATTTTTTTTTAAAAGGATTGTTTCGATGTATTGTTGCAATAACATACAATGATTATATAGTATTGCAATTTGCAGTGTTTGTCACTGAATTGTTTTTTTAGTTTATTAAAAGAAAAGATAAAGTTAAATAAATAACTCGAAAAAGGAAGCTGAGTGATTTAAGAGAAGTGTTTACGAATAAACAACGTGTAACACAATCTAATTTAATCGTTCAGAATCCAGGCCTCGTGCCACATGCTCGATCTATGTACTCTCTCTATGCTTTCTTATACAATATTCATATTTTAAAATAGTTCACAAAAATTGCATTTAATTTTGAAATTGCTTGATCAAACTTAACTTCGTAAACTGAATATAAAAATGATATAAATTTAATAAAATTATATTAATATCAATAAATAAAAGTAAACGGAGGAAATATTCTTGAAGAGAGACTACACAATTTTTGTTCGGCATTCAATTAATCCGACCTGTATTACTTTTCCAAGAATTTTGCATACGCTCGTAATGAACACACTGTGTGTTGGTTTCTTGAACTCGAAAATCTGCATGCCGATTCGTGCCAGGCATCGCCGTCGTCCGTGCCCGTGACTCGCATGTGAGCGAAGAAAATGGAAAGATTTCGTGCGTGAAGTATTATTGGCGACCCCGCTAATGCGAGAGAGTCAAGGTGAGGATGAAGGGGTATTAGAAGTTCACGCTTGGACGGAACACGCGAGTGCGCGCCCGCGAGTGGCACGCGACTGAATTCGCCGAGCGACTCACGCGAGAAGTAAAAAAAAAAAAAGAGAGAAAGAAAAAAAATTACGCGGTGCATCTCTTTCCGCGCCTCCTCTTCCTCCTTCTTATTTCTTCGCGGAAGAGAAACACCCGCGTTTCCGCGATGCGTAACCCCCGGTGCGTGGCCGATTTTTAATAGCGGATTTAAATATATCGAAGAGAGGCAGGGTGTCCAGCAGATTCAATGAAAAAAATTCCCTGACTTTTTCAGATTTTCCAAAACTAGAAATTTATTTTTTTCCCCGACTTTTTATTTTTTCCAAATATATCATTTGCATATATCTATATAATCAATCAATTAAATGTTAAAACATGAAATCCTTGAGATATTTCAATGAAAAGGTTCGGAAGTTAAAACAAAAATGTTTATCAATTATAGAATCGAATTCACGACGATAATATAAATTAACGAACATGCTGTAGATAAGGTTTTTAACAACACAGAAAATTAGCGTGCTGACAGTCAAGAAAAAATTTATATTTATTTAATAAAAAATGTCAATTATTCAGAATAATGTGAAAAAATCCTGATAAATAGTAAAATTTCCTGACTTTTCCCTGACAATTCCAGATTTATAAAATTCCAATTTACTTGATTTGTTATACGCATCATATTAATCTTTCCTAGTAAACAGGAAAAATATCACAAAATGCCCGTAATAAAATAAAAACACATCGCAAAAGTACAAAATGTTCAGGATTATACATTTAATTTAACATTTTAATTTAATACCGCGATGCAATCGAATGCGTGTTTCTAATCAGTCATCGATACACAATTTCAAAGTGGAATAAAAGTTATGAGT